TGTGATACTTTTGACTAAAAGGGATCCTTGGTGAAAAACCTGAGAGAGGCTTGTGATATAATAAAGAACCTATCTGGTCTTTCTCTCCAGTTACTGACACAGAGTTTCAAAAATGTTTGGAATTTCCTGAGCAATAGGAGTTTCTCTGTTATGCTAATGAGGTGACTTCTGGCAGGACCCTTAGATAGCTTCAGGACAGAGAAGGCTGCTCACCAGAAAAAAAGTCAACCATGAAACAAAAAAAAAGAAAAGAAAAAGAAAAAATCAACCACACAGATTGAAAAGCTGGAGTTGAGTTCAGTCACATAGCCTATGATTTAATTAATCATGCCTACATAATGAAATCTCAACCAAAAACTGGCCAGTGAGCTTCCTGGTCAGTGAACATATTGTTATACTGGGAAGGTGTCACACCCTAACTCCACAGAAACAGAAGCTCCTGCACTCAGGACCCTTCCAGATCTTATTCTATGTACCTCTTCATCTGATTGTTCATTTGCATCCTTTATAATAAAGAAGGTAATTATAAGTAAAGCACTTTCCTGAGTTCTGTGAGTCATTCTAGCCGAATTATGGAATTTAAGGGGTGGTCATGGAAATCCCTGAATCTCTAGCCAAGTCAAGCAGTACTACAAGTAGGCTGGGGATCCCATTTGTGGCTGGAATCTGAAAGAAGGGCAGTCTCATTGAGGACCTTGCATTTTAACTTGTGGAATCTGGTGCTAACTCCAGGCACTTAGTGTCAGAATTTGGTTGAAATGTAGGCCACTCAGTTGGTGTCAGAGAACTGGTATCAGCTACAGTAGGTATAATGCTTTCCTGAGTTCTGTAAGTCATTCTAGCAAATTATGGGACCTGCAGGAGTAGTGGAAACACCTGAAAGTGTAGATAGCTCATCAGAGTGATGTAGGACTAGGGACCTCTAAGCTTGAGACTAATGTCTGAAGTAAGGATAGTTATATGGGGACTGTGCCATTACCTGTGATGTTTGACCAAATTCTGGATAATTGGTGACAGAAGTAATGTCATCCCTACACGGAACATTATTCAGCCATAAAAAGGAAAGAAGTACTGACCATGCTACAACATGGATGAACCTTGAAAAACACTGAAAGAAGCCAGTCACAAAAAGAACACATACTGTGTGAATCCATTTATATGAAATATTCAGAATAGGCAAATCTATAGAAACAGAAAATAGATTAGTGGTTGTTTAAAGGTCAGAATGAGGGTGGGATAAGGGAGGTTGTAGTAAAGGATACTACGTTTCTTTATAAAGTGATGGAAATGCAAACAATAAATGCTGGAGGGAGTGTGGAGAATAAAGAACCCTCCTACACTATTCGTGGGAATGTAGTTTGGTATAGCCACTATGGAAAACAGTATGAAGATTCCTTAAAAAACTAAAATTAGGCTTATTATATGACCCAACAATCCCACTCCTGGACATACATCCAGAGGAAACTCTAATTTGAAAAGGTACATGTTCATAGCAGCACGATTTACAATAGCCAAGACATGGAAGCAACCTAAACGTCCATCAACAGATGACTGGACAAAGAAGTTGTGGTATACATACACAATGGAATATTACTCAGCCATAAAAAGAATGAAATAATGCTATTTGCATCAACATGAATCAACCTAGAGATTATCATACCAAGTGAAGTAAGCAAGAAAGAGAAAAAATAATACCATATGATATCACTTATATGTGGAATTTTTTTAAAATGACACAAAAGAACTTATTTACAAAACAGAAACAGTCTCAGACATAGAAAACAAATTTATGGTTACCAGAGGGGAAAGGGGATGGGGAGGGATAAATTGAGAGTTCGAGATTTTCAGATACTAACAACTATATGTAAAATAAATAAACAACAAGGTCCTACTGTATAGCAAAGGAAACTATTTTCAGTATCTGGTAGTAACCTACTAATGAAAAAGAATATGAAAAGGAATATATATATACACACATATATATTACTGAATCACTATGCTGTACACCAGAAACAAACACAACATTGTAAATCAACTATACTTCAATTAAAAAATAAAAAGAAAAAAATAAAAATAAAGTGATGGAAATGTTCTAAAATTAACCATGGTGATACTTACACATTTTTACAAAGTTACTAAAAACTACTGAAACAAACTTTAAATGGGTTAATTGTATGGTATATGAATTATATCTCAATAAAGCTGTCATTTTTAAAAGCGTGATTTTCTTTTATAAATATATACTGAAATAGCTATGATTGAAATGTAAGGTGTCTGGGATTTACTTTAAAAGAATCCGCTAAGGGTGGAGAGGGGAACAGAAGAAATAAGACTGACTGTAAGTTGATAATTGCTGAAGCTGACTGCTTGGAGATTCATTAAATTACTCTCTCCACAGTTATATTTGTTTGACATTTTTCATAAGAGGAAAAAAGAAAAATCCCATGCAATGTTCTGACTTACTCAGAAAAGGGGACTGTCACCTCCTTTGATAAATTATTATTTAGAGGCCCCACCCAGAGCCCTCAGCTCAAGGAGATGAATTATTGAGGGGAATTTGAGCAGCACAGTAGCCATGGAGTGCGGAGAGGTGGTGAGCACAGGGGCTGGTTGGGGCCAGGACAGCTCAGCCCCCTCAGGCCTCACTGACAACCCCCAGGCCAGGCTGATCGTGGTGGTGGAAGTAGATCAAGGGAGAAGATCGGGTGAGAAGTCCCCACCCAGTCATTCAGAGGCAGTACAGCCTGGGAGAGCCTCTTGGGAGAGGGGAAGGGTGAGGCCATTTCATGTGAGGAACTGAGGCAAAGGTTGAGGGCAGGACTCATGAGTCCTGGGACTTCGGTTTCTCCCAGAAGAGTTGATATGAAGTCCACCTTTCTCAGGACCTGAGGAGACCTGTTGCCGCACACTCCTCCTGGAGGGGCCTCAGAGCATCTGCCTGCTTCAGCGTGGGACTCAGGTAGAGATGGGATGGGAAGGGATGAGAAGTGGGTGAAGGCAGGGGGAGGTGGGAGTGACACTGTTTCCTGTCCACAGGAACAATGCATCACTTTTGACAGAGTCCTGGGTTCTGACGCTGCTCAGGTAGGGGGTCTGATAGGGCGATGGGAGGAGGGTGGGTGCTGGGTGCTTCCTGAGCCCTTTCCTCAGCGCAGGCTGAGTCAGGGCACCTGAAACAGGGGGCTGTGCCTGTGTCTCCCTGCAGGAGGCAGAGCAGGAGCTGCTAGTCCGAGCCCAGTCGACGCTGGGCTGGGTGGGCCGAGGGTACAGTGTGGCCCTGCTGCTTCGGGGTCGGGAAACAGAGGCACCACGGCTCGTGCCTCAGGTGAGTCCCAGATGAGGCACCAGGCACAGCTGTCATGAGGCTCAGGTGTTGCCTCCTTTCCAGGAGACCTTCCGATACTTTCCCCTCCCCACCCTGGCTGGACTAGGTGCCCCTTCTTGGGGTTCCTACAGCATCCTGTGGTTTTGCCATAGTCAATCTACGAGCTATTGAGAGATCAGGGAAAGTAGGAGGCTGGGGTCCATGAGGTCAGGGAGGGGTGGTGTGCAAAGATCAAATATCCAGGGAGGTGTAATTCTCACTGTTCTTAGTAATACTAATAATGACAAATACTTGAAAGTTTTGTTTTTGGGCTACATGAAAATGCCCCCAAACTAAAATAGTTGCCTCAGAAACTTGTTGTAGGTCCCTGCCTGGGCCAACAGCAAGTCCCACTGAAAACATCTGCTCACTTGTCTGGCTCGCTGTGAACCAAGAGGGCTGGGGCTATTTCTGTCCTGGCCACCATGGCCATAGCACCCAGCACACGGCCAGGCACAGACTTCAGCCTCAGGAAATGAGGAAGAACAGATTAATCCTTTCTCAATTCCCACTGAACCCCTTTCTCCACTTTAGCTGCTGCAGATGCTGTTTGAGGAAGCTCTGCCCCTCAGGGGGTCTGATGCTGTGCTTAGTACTCTTAGCCTGGTGCAGGTGAGGCCCTGGGGGAGGGGACACCTGGGGAGCCGAGGCCATAGTGATGCTGCAAAAGAGCCTGAGGCTTGCGGGCAGCCTGAAGAGAGTGGGTCTAGCCCCACTCTGCTGCTCATCAGCATCGGCTTGCCCTGCTGGGGTCTCCTTTTTCCTGCCTGAAATGGCTGAATTTTGGTGCCCTGCTTGGCCCACAGGGGCCCAGTGGGAGGATCATGTGAACCAAAGGTTGAGAAAGGTTCAGATTGTAACAGATGTTGTGCTTGTGTGATCTCAGCTCAGCCCCAGTGGGAGGATCCAGGACCTGCTTGCTCCAGGAGCAGAGAACCTGTCGGTGCTGGATGTGGCCCCTCTGGGCTTGTGAGTGTCCAGAGCCCAAAGGCGTCTGAGGGTGCTTGTCTTAAGGCAGGGCTGACACCCCAAACCAAGCCATCAGGCTTCTCCCCATTGCCACCCCAGAGGAGTTCTGAGCATGGGGTCATGCTTACAGGGCCTGGGTGTGCTCCCAGGACTCCCTCTCTCCATTTTCCTTTCATCCTCATGTCTCATCCCTCTCCTTCTTCTCACCCCACCCACGTTACACCTTTTCAACTTAGTCATTACCATCCTGGGTGATTTGAGCATCTCACTAAGCAGAACTTCGGCTTCTTTATCTGTAAAATGGGAGCAATCTCAACTACCCTATTTCCCTCCTAGGGCAAATGATAGGAGAAAATAAAAAAGATCATGAACATGAGAGGCTTTTAGGGGATATACTGAGCTTGGAGACTTGGGGGTGATTCTTATATGCTCTTGGGACTCCCATGGGCTCCCCATGCAGAGATTCTGGGGGGGCTGGACAGAACCCTCGTGCTTAGGAGCTCAGCCTCCTCTTCCTCCAGGGTGGTGGTAAATGCCACTGAAGTGGAAGTATCTGACTCAAGAGCTGCCTCAGAGCTGTACTTGCAGGCTGCAGGTGGTGAAGGCAGGTAAGGACAGGAGGGCACCTGTCACCTCAACCCACTCCCTAGCCATTTGGCTTGATCCTATGCTCTCCTCTACAGGGCCTGCTCTCTGCTCACCATCACCATGTCCTGCCCAGGGCCTGACCCTCCTGAGAGGCCTGGTACCCAGGGCATGTGGCAAGGAGCCTTGCGGATCCTGCAGCTCCCAGGAGTCCTGTAAGTCTGATGGAGACTTTTAACAGCTTTGGGGAAGGGTGGGGATGACTGAAATATGGATGTAGAGGCCCTAGGAAGCATCAGAGTTTCCTTTTCTCTGACATACTGAAGGATTTGCTCCCTTTGCTCATTTCTTGCAATGAACTCCCTCAGCTTTTCTGTAACTCCTATAGTTTTGAGGGATAGTATTGTCAGATCCTAGTTGACAGTTTCTTTTCTTTGAGCACTTTAACTATATTATCTCACTGCCTTCTGGCCTCCACCATTTTTGATGAGAAATTGTTTTTTAATCTTATTAAAGATCTCTTGTACAAAACAAGTTGCTTCTCTTTTGTTTTCAAGATTCTCTCTTTGACTTTGGCTTTTAATAATTTGATTATAATCTGTCTTGGTGTGAATCTCTTTGAGTTTATCCTCCTCGGAATTTGTTGAGCTTCTTAGATGTGTAGATTCATGTTTTTCATAAATTTGGGGGAATTTTTGAACATTATTTCTTCAAATATTCTTCTCCATCCACCAGTGGACATCTCCTTTCTTCTTCCCTCCCTCCCTCTGGCAGAGACTGTCCCCTGTTGCAGGTGTTGGCTGGTGAGGTTGTTGGTGAGGAGGTGGAGGGCTCTCTGCCCTGGATTGTCTCATGGCTCCTGGAAGGAAACAACTACAGTGGCCTTCTTCTTCGCCTGGACACTCAAGGTGGCCTGGGGGAAGGTGCGGGGTTCTTTGGGAAGCTCTGGGATCTGGCCTTCGGCCCCCGCCACCTCTCACCCAACCAGCTGCAGCCCCCACCCTAGCCAGCCCAGAGAGTCTCATCCATCTGGGAGGGCCAGGATTAGAAAGGTCCCAGGGTTGCCAGGCTGCCGAAGTCTGGAGAAGCAAGGACAATAGCAAAAGCAAACTCTCACCCTTCCAGAGGCCTTCAACAGTTTACCAAGCATTTTTACACTAATGAATACCTTTGATTATCACAACCCCATGAGACAGATTGAATTTACAGGTGAGGGAAGGGAGGCAGGCTTAATTTATAGATGAGGAAAGCGAGGATCAGAGAAGAGAAGGTACTTGCCGATTTTCACACACCCATTAAAAGATCAAGCCTCTGTGAAATGATATGACATCAGAGATTTGGAGGTCAAGCAGAGGGTAGAGATCAAACAAGAATGTCCATGAATTGATAATTGTTAAGCTGGGTAATAAGTAGATGGATTTCCTATACTATGTATATGTTTGAAGTTTTCCATTAATAAAAGAGAAAAACAGGTCTGGCCCTCTGTCTTCAAAATCAACAGATACACATTCATTTAGCCAACATTTTTTCTGACCTCACCCTGTGCCAGGCACTGCGGAATGAGGAAATAAGCTGGGGCAGTTCATATTCTTAAGGACAAAGCAGGGAGGGAAAGAAGTATATTTATGTCCAGGCCAGTTTGGGATAACAATCAAGGGTAGAGGTTTTAATGTCTGACCAATATGGGCTTGAGTTTCAGCTGTGCCACTCACCAGGAAGTTGCTTGACCTCTCTGAGCTTCAGTTTCCTCACTTAGAAAATGCTGGGGGAGGCAGGGTAAATCAGAGCTGCTGCCTCATTGGAGTGTTGTCTGGATAAGAAGAGGCAATTCATGAAAAGCCTGAGCATAGTACCATCAACCACGTGTAAAAGCCTGCTAAGTGTTAGCTATTTTCATGAATAGTCCTATTAATACAAATTAAAAATATTATAGGCAGTGTGCTTTGGAGTTCAGAGGAAGGAGTGATTCACTCTGTGTCTCCTCTTACTAGGCAGTTCCCAGAGCTTGCTCCAGGCTGCACTGCTGGGGGCCGCGAGAAGGAGGATGAAGGTGAAACAGGTGAGGCCCACCCTGTGGGATGCAGTAGAAGAGGCCCGGGCCCGCCGGGCTGGCCTGAAGAGCCTGCGTTCAGGCCTCCTTGGGGACACTCTGACAGAGACTGGGCTCAGCCAGCTGGGCAGGGCACTGCAGGAGCTGCAGGTGAGCAAGGTGAGGCCTGAAGGTGCCTGGGCCAGCAATGGCTGCAGCCCACCCTGAACCCTCTCTCCACAGGTGGTAAAAGCCTGGAGCCAGCGCTTGGGAAGCTGGATGCTCAAAGAGGTCAAAGCTGAGGCTGCAGGACTCTCAGAACCATGGGTATGTCTTCTCATCCAACCTCTCTGGAGTCTCATTGATGTCTGCCTTCTTCCCTTCTGTTCACAGAGCACTGTGAGGGGGCCCTTCCTTCATTTATTAATTTATTGATTCCAAAACATTTACTGACCACTCACTATGTGCAGGGCACAGTGTCATGTGGGGGCTGGGAAATCCCTATCCAATTGGAGTTTACTAACCTCTGGAGAAAAACATTTAACACCATGATCGGTGCTCTGAAGGCCTTATTTGAAGGGTTCTATGGGGGCATCTAAGTTAGTCTTGGCATGAGAGGGAAGGAAGACTACATGGAGGAAGTTGATCATCTAGCAAAGATGAATGAAGAACATTCTAGGCAGAGAAAATAACAGGCAAAGTCTCAGAGGTAAGCGAATGTTTGATCTCTTTACAAGACTGCAAGCAGCTCAGTTTGCTGGAGAATAGAGTTTAAGGAAGAGAGCCAAGAGTGAAGGATTGGAGAGTGAAGCACGGGCCTGGTCATACAGGGCTTTGTCAATCTGTTGAGATGTTTGAACTTTGTCTCAAAGGTCAAGGGGAAGCCATAGAATTCTTTTAAACAGGGAAGACAACATTGCTCCTGCTTTTCAGGTGAGCAAACTGAAGTTCAGAGAAGCGATCCGAGTGTCCTGGGATAATTAAAGGCAGCAGAGGTGCAAACACATCCAAATCCAGACTCAGTGCGGAGCTTTCATCCCCTTAGGATGCATGGCTTCTCTTGTGCAGAAGGGGGCGCTGTCCTCCATGATTTGGCACAAGGTGGCTGGAAGGTTGCCCTGTCCAGCTTATTCTTGTCCTTCCCTTTTCATAATTACTCATAACTTCTTTTTACAGACCTGGGCCTTGGGAATTAGGCCTGTAAACTCCCATTTATTGAGCACAGCTGGCCAGTGCTTAGTACTTTGGGTGTCTTATCTCATTTCATGCTCTCCACGACTTTTATCCAGCTCCATTTTATGGATGAGAAAATGGAGACTCAAAAGACTAGCCAACTGCTGGAGGTCATACAGCTAAGAAAAGGAGGGTGGGGACACTGATCTGTCTGATTTCAAAATCCATGCTGTTCTGGGAGGAAAGGTATGGAATTCTCACTCATGTTTTCTCAGCAGGTGATAGATTCAACAGCAAGCCACAGCCCAGGCCTCCAGGAGGAGCCTCAAGGTGAGTGTGGGGGTTGCAGTGAAGCTGGGGGTCTTCTCCACCTTTGGTGTGCTTAACTGCAGTTTCCTCCAGTGGCAGGAAGAACAGCATCTATAGAATCTGGGCTCCACGAAAAGCATCCTCCTAGGGGCTCTGAGGAACAGGTACCATCTTGTGTACTCCCTAACAACTGGAAGCTGTTGGGGGAGTGAAGAGTCACAGAGCCCAGATAATGTTTCCTGTTTACGCTGCCCTAACATCAGGGAGAAATACTGAGCTTCTGGCAAAAAGGGATCAGAAGGGCTACTAAGAGGGGGAGGGTATAGCTCAGTGGTAGAGTGTGTGTTTTGCATGCCTGAAGTCCTGGGTTCAATCCTCAGTACCTCCATTAAAAATAAATAAATAAATAAATAAATAAATAAATAAATAAACCCACCTAATTACTACCCCCCTAAAAATTAAAAAAAAGAAAAGGACTACTAAGGGCAGGGCATGGGAAAGGGCTGTTTTCCTACTGGGTTGGGTAAGAGGTATGGGACCCCTAGGGCCTCCATGGTTCCCACTGGCAGAGTCAATACTTGTCTTCCCCCATGGCCTCTGAGCCTCTGTCCAGGCCACAAGCTCTTCCAGGCCAGTTAGTCTTCTGGAAGTAATTCTAGGAGCAGCCCTGTTAATGGGCTTCTGGTGGAAAAGTTGGGCCCTGTGTCCCAAGGCAATGTGCTCACATGGGCTTCTGGCTGAGCCCAGACTGATGCCCCCTAGGCCCAGCAGGCCCCGGATGTGGCCCTGCAGTTCTTCCTGGCTCAGGCCCGGAGGCAGAGACTGCGAGAACAGCATGAAATCTGGATCCAAGAGGAAATGAAGCATTTGGAACAGGAAAAGGAGGAAGTGGCAGGTGACCAGGTCAAAGGCCTGGGGGCTAGAGAAGAGGTAAGGACGGTGGATGGGACTTGAGGCTCATTCTAATCTGGCCAGGCAATGTGCTAGGGGCCAGGGTCTTGTGTCAAGTTGGGCCCTACCCTCTCCCTGGCCCTCCCAGGTTTGTGGGGGATAGACAACGCAGTGCTAAGTGCTGTGGCGGGGGACTAGTGGCTCATGGCAACAAAGAAGTGCACCTGACCCATGCTGGAGTGGATCAGAGATGGCATCTAAGCTGAGACTTAAAGGACAAACAAATCAGCCAGAACAATTCATTAGACCATGAGCTCCACATGGGCAAGTTGTCCTCATCACATACAGGCACTCAGTAAATACAACTTGTTTAAACAATAAAACTTGTGTGCACAGAGGTGGCGGGGAGGAGGGAGACATGTTTCTAAGAGAAGAGAATTCCGTATGAGCAAAGGTCCAAAGGGAAGCAGTGGCAATACAGGTTCTGGGTACTGCGTATTGCCTATGTGGCTGGAGGCTGGCAGGTGCGTAGTCGGAGCAAGGCTAAAGAGACAGTGTGTGCCTCTGGATTTGGACTTTACCCCAAGGGTGACAGTAAACTGTTGAAAGGCATATGTCATCTGAGTTCTGTCCCTCACTAGCCACGTGAATTTGATCGTTAGGTCACCTATCTGATCCACTGTTTCCAAGTCAGTAAAATGTCAACTACCTCAAGGTTGTCATTGGATAAAATGAGATAATAACATAAAGTATGTAGAACAGAGCCTGGCACACAGGTGGTAATCAACAAAGAGGATGTATTATCACTGAAGCCCTCCAAGGAGAGGCACAGATGGCACTGGGAGCAGGCAGCACTGAGACTCCAGCTGGAGGCCCTTCAGGCAGAACGGGATGCTGCGGAGCAGGACCTGGTAGCGCTCTATGACCTGCACGTGCAGGCTGCCCGAGCCCGGACATGCCACGAGCTGCAGGTTAGTGTGGACAGAGGGCAGGCCTTGGGCTGGTTCCAAGACTGGTTGACTGATGGGCATCTCTGACTCTGGGCACAGGTATTCCGAGCCTGGCGGGGACTGTGGGAGGAACGGGCTGTGACCACAGAGCATCACTACCGCAGCTTGCTGGCTGGAGTCCTGCAAGACACCATCAGCCTGGCTACACAGAACCAGGAGCTCCAAGCCCAGAACCAACAACTTTGGCAGACTAGGCTGGAAGCAGTCATACTGGATTCCAGCCTTGAGGAGAAACCTGGTAATTAGGAATCCTTCAGGGGCAGTTTCCTCTTTCTTAAAGATCTTAGAAGGGAGAGGAAGTTGGGACACAACAGCCAAGCTAACCTTCATTATGGATTAATAACACCACCACTAACCAGGTCTCACTGTACCAGTCCTTGCTAAGCGCCTGATATCCAATAATTGATTTAGCCTTTTCTACTACCCTACATAGTAGTAGGTATCATATGACCCCCATTTCAGAGATAATGCAACTAAAGCTAGGAGAGGTTGTGTAACTGTCCAAGGACAGTCAGCCAATAAGTGATGGAGCCAGAATTCAAACTCAAGCCTGGCTGGCTATTGTTCTACACTGTAGACAGTAGTGGTCCACAGGTTGCAGCGCACATCAGAATCACCTAGGGAGCTTATTGGAAAAAAAGAAAGAAAAAGAAAAGAAAAAGAAGAAAGAAAAAGTGAAGAAAAGAAAGAAAAAAAAAAGGAGAAAGAAAAAGAAAAAAAAAGATTCTCAAACCCCACTTCCTAAGATTCTGCTTCAATAGACCTTGTTTTTTGTTTTCTTTTTTCTTTACCAGCTTACCAGGTATTCTACCATGGGAGCAGGGCCAGATACTTCTCTGGCCATGAGAAGAGATAGCAGGTAGGGGTATCAGTGAGGGAACCAGAGATGAGAATCAAAATCACCTTCCTTTAGAGTTCTCTAGCCTACAGTCTACAGTTTGCCTTGCTGGGCCCAGCACCTTCTATTCCCACAGCTCCCTCCAGGGCCCAAGTTTTGTGCTTCAGAGAAAGTCCCAAAATTCTGTGACAGAGTTTCAGCGCCATGGAGTTCTCAGAGGAAATAATGCTGCTGGCAAGAGCTGGGAGAAAACAGATTTTTTCTCGGTCTATGAGTCACCCCAGGATTAAGATACTCAGGGCATCAGAGGAAGGAAATTATGCTTGAGAGGAGATACACAACAGAGAAGACACAGGACAATCAGGGCCGATTGTAGGAAACTACACCCCAGAACACTTTATTAAGACCTTATTGCTTACGCGTTAGACACTGATTGAGCTGTACAAGTTTCCCTGTGCCTGGTCCCAGTTCGCTCTGTGTATAGCTTTCCCCAGGCTGTTGAGAGCTGGAACGCTGCTAGGAAAGGGCAGGACCCAGAGTGGGAAGAATGGTACCTCCTAGGAGCAGTAGAGGGTGCAGTGGGCTTTGAGAGGGCCCTTGGGGTGAACAGAGAGGTCAGGAGTATAGGCTTAAACCAGGGCCCAGGGGCAACATTCCCTGAGATGAGTCAAGCCCCAGTCCTCTCTGAGGTTTCCAGAACAAGGGCTGGGTGTGGAGAGAGCAGGGGGCATTGTCTCCAGGCGCTACTGGAGCTAGGGGAGCATGGCAGAGTGGCCTGGGTAATGGGGTTATGATGTGTGGTAACTGGGCTTTCCTGCATGACAGTCGGCAGGGGGCGAGGGGTATCCATTATGGGTGAGTCATGTACCAAGGCTGGGCTGGAGCAGCCAGCACCAGGCCTGGGGGCAGTGGGTCGGTGGGGGTGACCACAGTAGGCAAGGAAGGTCAACTGCTGCCCACGCCCCACTTTAAGCGACTGCATTCATGCAGGATGAGGCAGGGGGCCTCCTCCATTCCCATCAGGAATGGTATCTTTTCTCAGGCCTGTGTACTGATGCTCTCCTAATTTCTTAGCCCGCAAGAACTCGGGGAAGGGTGGGTTAAGAGTTTCCTTAACCAAATCCAGCCTTCGAATCTCCCATGGATAACTCTTCATCCACCCAGCTCAGAGACTAACGTGGCTGCTCTCACTGACCCAGCTTTTCTCACAAGGCACTTGTTTCAGGGCTGCCAAAGGGAAGGAGGGAGGATTAGGAGGTGGCTCTGATGGTGGCACCCAACCTACAGGTCAAGACCCAGGGTGGGGTTAGGTCAGGGGCTAGCGGCTGCCATAGTACAGGCGCACAGCCAGGCCGATGAGCAGCGTGGCTAGGAAGAAGGCAGCTGTGAGCTGCAGCCGCAGCAGGGCTGCTGAGAGCACAGCATTGACCACTAGTGAGCAGGACACAACGAAGAGGCGCGTGATGCTGCTGCCGTGCTTCATGACGGCTGACATGAGCAGTCCATTGAGTGCTTGGCTCAGCACGACGAGCGCTGCCCAACCTGAGAAACCCTCCAGGAGGCCTGGGCCGGGGCCGCCACCTGCATGCAGACCTAGGTTCAGGAGCACACCAAAAGTGTAGAGGAAGAGGTTCTGAAGGGCCAGGGGCAGCCGCTGTCGTTTCATGAGCAGCTCTGTGTACACGGAAGACAAGCCTGAGATGAGGCAGTACAGGATGAGAAGCAGCAGTCCCAGTGGAGTGATATGCAGGGGCATGGGGCCCGCAGCAGCCGCTGAAGGGGGCCCAGAAAGCGTGTTCCCAGGGTCCCGGAGGCCACCAGCTGCATAGCAGGCTCCCGCTGCCATCAGCAGCAGCAGTGCTAAGCCCTGGCGTGCGGAGAGGCGGTGTCGGAGGCAGAGGCAGTAGAACAGGGCTGTGCTTCCGATCTTGAGATTGCTCAGCACCTGGTAGGTGCTGGGGTCCATGTAACGTTGAAGATAGATCACCAGGTTGTTGTTGGCACCATAGAGCAGGGCTGATAGTGCGAAGGGGGCGGCTTGGCGCCAGGGTGGGGTCCCCTGGGGCCATGCTTGCCAGCCCACCAGGAGAGAGAAGGCGCACAGTAGCAGCTTCGTCAGTTCAGTCAGCAGTACGGCCGAGGAAGGCCGGAAGGGCACGCGGCCATCTACATGGCACAGCGCCAGCAATGGGGCATGGGCCCCGTACATCGCAGTGGACAGGAGTAGCATCAGGGTCCAGCGGGCCTGCCTGGGACGGCCCAGGCCTGGCATACCCCCGTCCTCTACACTCATGCCCAAACTAGACCTTGGGTGGCCTCTGTAGCTGGCAAGGGGACAACGGGGACTGTGATGCATCTGGGGAAAATCAAGTTATGGAGCTGGCTCCCAGGGGTGAGGAGCTGTGGTACATTGCCAGAGAGATACTGAGAGTCAGAGTCAGCTGCAAACCCCACAGCAAGGGCTGGAAGAGGAAAGGATTGGTGGCCCTAGAAGCCAGTCTTGGGGCCAGTCCCGTGGGGTTACGGAGGGAAGGAGTCCAGGGTGCTGGCTGATGAGCCACTGTACAGCCTCTGCAGGAAGGGAAGTGAGGATGAAGGCAGCAGGAAAGCTGGAGTGAGCAAATGGGTGAAAGCCCGGGAGGCCAGGTGCGGCGTCTGTGGCTGGAAGGCTTCCGCCTGCAGGCCCCAGCTGTTCATCCTGCCTCCCTCATGGGATCCAGAGCTAGTCGGGCCCCTTGCGCAGTGATCGAAGATAGTCCCTCAAGGTCTTCTCTACATTGGGCACAGCATATGCCTGCGCTGCATATATGCCAGTGCAGGTGCCCACGGCAAAGCCCAATACTGCCGATGCCCTCAGTTTGGCCACCACGTAACCGGCCAGGAAGCCCTTGAGGAATGGGGAGGACAAGAGCGAGCCATCCTGTGGATGAAAATGCAGGAGGAAACTCAGCTAGGCTCTCCCCTTCTCTACTCAGGAGCTACTCAAGGGGCTTAGCACATCCCACCACCTGCTCCTCCTTACTCAGGAAGCTGTAGTATGCTCTCCAAAGATTTTCTCAAGATTCTGGAGGCAGAAAAAGAACCTAGAAGTTCTGATCACACAATGCCAGAACCCTGTGGTTAGAAGGCTCTAACCACAGAATCCTACTGAGAAAGAGGTCCCTGAAGAATCCGACCCCTGCCTGCTTCCCGTTTCATTTCCTAGCACACTCCCCCACTGCTGCAGCCAAACTGAACTGCTTCACCATCCTACCTCCCACCACAAGGGATTTGCCTATGCTGTTCCATCTGCCTGAAATGTTCCCTCTTCTCCCTCATCACCTAGTTAACTCCTAAGATTTAAGATCCCAGTTCCGGGGAGGGTATAGCTCAGTGGTAGAGTGCATGCTTAGCATGCATGGGGTCCTGGGTTCAAAACAAAAAAAATCCTTCCTAGAATTGATATAATATGGTATTATGCCCATTTTACAGACTAGGAAACTGAGGCAGAGAGATTAAGTAACTTATGTATAGTCACATTATTAATTAATAGAGAAGCTAGGATTCAACACTAAGCACTCTGGCTCCAGAAATTGTTCATTTAATCACTGTGCTATGTGACCTCTTGGTACACATGGATCTCAGGAAAGAGTGATCTGGGATGCAGACTGAGATCTGAGAGTTACCAATTGAAAAAGAAAAAAACCAAGTTCAAATGCCATTTTCTCAGGGAAACTTTCCTGGGAGGAAGAGGAGGGGTCACAGAGAACAGACCCTTAATAACCAACCATTTGCTGAATAAGTCTCTACCACCCATTTGAAAGCATACTGGCCATGAAGCTTAAGGGGTGGGGGGCAGGCACAGCCTTACCTGGCCCACACCACTGCTGACTTCGTCTTCCACACGCTGCTGCAGGCGCTCAAGCTGGTTCTTGAGAAATGCCAGGTCCTTAAGCTTGGGGAGAGAATCCTAGGACAAGGGAGAGGCTGGCTCCAGAAGGCTGATCCAGCCCCATCCCTACTCAAGTCTATCAGAGACTGGGGGTAGGGAGGAGTGAGTCTGAAAAATTTCCTATAAAGCCTACCTGAGATGACAGTGATTGATAAAGGTAGAAAGGGATTGAAAATTAAAGAATTCATATGGGGGCCAGGGAAGGGGTGACAGATGGGATCTGCACTGGTAACTTACAACAACCCTTACAAGAAATTTTGTATAGCAAGCAGTGTATAGGGAAGGCAGGAGGGACAGCTAGGGAACTTTCAGTTAGGTTTATCAGGCAAGCAGTAGTGACTATAAGCTACCTGAAAGTTGTGGATAGCCTCCCGCAGCCTAACACAGGGACTGCAAGTAAATGTGTGGGTGGTGCTGAACTTCAAGACTAATGATTAGTAATAGCCTGAGGCAGTTCCCTGGACAATCTGGGGGTAAACTGATTTCTGCCTAGGCTTCTTCCCCTTTCCCTCAAGGCCATCCCAAATTGTGTGACTGGATGAGCTGGGGTTTGGAGGGTGGAGGGAGAAGGG